CTCTGTTAATGATTCAACAAAGAGAGCTTCTAGGAGCGCCATCTCTGAGCTCTCAAGCAGTCTGGTGGATCCAGTTCTTTGACCTACTACTAATGCTGACCGCGACATATCATCGCTCAGGTTGCAATACTGACCGTCTAGTTCGATACCTTTATGGCTTTGACCACATGTCTCCATGTCACGATGGCAGTGTGCTAAATTTTCCATTTGGCATGATAGTGCTCGTCCCTCAACTGCCATGGTGCCTGGCAGTCGCGCCCTTCTTACATTCGACGTATCTTTTATTCATTTCTTCTCTTGCTGTTCTTTCTTGCTGTTCTTTCTTGCTGTCTTTGTACAACTCACATGTTTCTGCTCTCATTTATCTCGTTCGACTGTCAGTACTCTGTCGTGCATTATTCTCCGGATCTCACCATCCTCATCTAATACCAAGGACCGGTGTTCGGGAACAGATTCGATCTTTAACGCGAGACGCTTTTGGAAAGCAATCATGCTCAGAGCCGAGGTCGCACCGCAGCGACCGCCCAATTCAAGAGATTACCGGCATCCGACTCCTGTCAAACCCAAGTTTCTTCTCGCCGAAGTTTATCAGCGCTCCTCTGGGTGTACTATTCTCTGGCTAGAGACCACAATTGAGTATCACCCATTGCTTTACTCGCGCACTGAATGAGCCTTAAGGTCATTGTAAGGACAACCTCCAGCGATGGATGAATACGTTGAGATGGCGACATTTCTCATGAGATGGACACGTTTCAAATGTATGTTCTCGCTACTGATATTGTAAACCACCTTCAAATTACGTAAACCTACCAGGCTGCCTTTGGCCAGGTTCAGTTCATCGACATACCTAGCCCGTCACCTGGGGTCTGGGCATCGGCCGTGACAGCGAGACCGAAGGACAGCTATGTGATAGGCCGACATTGCTGTGCTTGAGTCTTTGAAAGCTGAATTGGTTGACATGCTTTCCACTCTCTCAAAATGTACGAATGGAGTAGCATGAGGGTCAAGGCTAGGGAAAGCACCTTATGGCCTACGATACCGTCTAAGGTCATTCGTTGGCACATTGACACCAGACGCTGGGTTCTGGTCTTATATGGTCCCATTAGAGCTATGTCTTGTGCCTCTATTCAACCGACTATAATACTGAGTCAACCTGAACGTCAGCCATGATGTTCGTTGGATTGATCAGGCCGATTTCCGCCAGACTGGGAGAATATTAGCAACAGGGCTAGCCGAGTGAGGACGGCGAAACCACAACACGCGCTTCGTCAAAGCCTGCGACTTCCTTAGTTGTCGCAATACTCCGTCTCGAGGGTGGGTTTTCTTTACACGTACGCCGCATGGGAATGATTAGTTCTGTCGCTTGGGCCATACCCATCTCGGTCGTCGGCTTTCTCTGAGATCCGATTTCTGGTATGAATTTGTCCTTGGTCACTTTCTTTGAAGTGAACAGCGTAGAATTCGAAGACGGCCGTCTGGCTGAGAAATCCAACGTCGAGCATCACCACGCTTTCGTAATCGGTGGCCATGACAAGCATTTCGAGCCGGCCTCCTCTCCCCGGAGCCCCTCGTACGTCGCGCTGTTTGTGTTGTCTGTATTGCATACATTGCTCAAAGCGTTGTCGCTAAATTGCACATGTTGAAGCCCAGTCCTCTGTCCAAGTTGGCAAATGAGAAGATATGCCATGAAATCGGCAAAAGCCACTAGATTTCAATGGTAAGGGCTACTGGACAAAGTTCGAACCGATGTTGATATGGAGATTCGCATCGTTTGCGGGGCAATCTCGCCATTGTTCAAGTCTCGAGACTCATTGAGGCAGCAAGCATGTTGTCGGTTGATGCCTTTGCGAGCACACCCTGGAAATGCTGGGCAGGACCGATCCCTACGCTATTGTGAGCATAATGGGTGCTGTATTGGTCTCAGGGCGTAGCCCTCATTCGAGACTTCGAGCTGTGTGGCAACCTACATTTGCTGTGGGAGTAGGAATTGTGAGTCAATGCTGCGATAACACTATCAGTCTATGGTGGACAGAACGAATGGAGTGGGCACCGGTTGAGGGAGCGAAGCGCCATTGTGGTCTAAATTTGAACAGCCATACCAAACGTTGCACGCCATCCTCTACTGATAGATCTACCAAATCAGTGCGGTGAGGTTGTTTGAATGGATCAGTGCTGGATGAGACGCTACTCGGTGGCGGACAGCGGAGTCGATCTGGCCAGTACTCGATCGAGGTCGATGATGCTGGTCGCCGTTCCCTTCGACAAGACTTCATTTGCGATTCAAGTATATTTCAGACGTTAGTCGCGCTCTGGTCATCCAGGATCTAGTCCCTACCTTCCTTTGTTCAAAACTGAAAGGTGGTGACGTGCCAAGGACTACGGCGGCAGGCTCTGCCTTTGGTAGACAATGGAATGACTCGGCGCCGTTCCCGGTGTCCTGATCATGCACATGGTACCTTGATCGGTATCCTGCCTTCTTCTCTACTAATGACGTTATTTTTCTTTCGTCAGCCGTGAAGAGCTGCACAAAAGAGGAGAGGGGTTAGCAGAAGTCGTCCGCGTTTATTCCTCATTCATCCGACTTCAAGAATTCCGATGCAGCTCAGAACGTGATCGGCCTCAGCTTCAACCCCTCGTTATCATCTTGTATTTCATCTTGTATTCGGTTCTCTCATGCGTGGGAATTTCGCGCGCTGTGGTGGTAAAGTGGTGGGGGTGATGGAGTGCGCGTCGAATTGGCAATTGCGACGACCCTAAGACCAGGGGCTGACTTCTGTCTCTCGGACCGTAAGGTTACAACCGAAACTGGAAATTCTCGGGTAAGCACTGTCATTCAGTTGTTGCAGTTCCTCAGCTTCAACCTGATGGCCTGTGTGTGGGCCAGAGCCGATAGCTCATGATGCAAGAGCCAGACCTGTGCGATACCCTCGATGTACGGAATACCTCCAACAAATTTGCTGCATAATCAGCGAACTATTCAGATTGCTACGGTTCGGCTAAGATTGCGTTCAGGACTCCTCCGTTGGCATCAGCTGCCGCATTACCGTTTGGGATTCATATTCGACTACTGACGTGAACATCGAGTACCACAGGCCCGAGAGAAGTATTACGCTTGAAGACTTTTCGGTCAGTGTCTGAATATTTTGGTATAGTCATATTCAAGAAGAAAGGAGTTTGTGGGTGCCTCGAAGGGTTGTGAATGTAAACGAGACCGATTTAGCTCCGACAGCATTTAGCCTGGTGAGTGAAATCTACGTCTCACAGGCGACAATAGAGGGGGGAGAAACAACTCCAGCTTAACTGCGGCTATCACCATTCAGAATATTTGGTTCTTCTACAATTGCTGCCTTGGCTACTTTCCGAAGTGGTCCAACTACCTCTGTTACAGATTCTGCTTCGCATGCACGGATGCCTGTCGCAGTATCAACTGCGGCTATACTAAGACAATTCTGAATCTCTCCACAGGATTCAGGCTCGATATACAACTCGCTGCCACATATTCACTCCGCCGTAAAGCGATGCATGCAATATAGTCCACAGACAGGTTAGAAACCACAGAAGAAGGCAGGGTTAGGTTGGCATAACAACCATCACACATTCAGGCAAGAACGCGAAACTGCGACTTGATCAAAAATGTTTGTAAACTCCATGATATGAAAGTGTTATATCCCGTGCTAATACCCGCAGCTACATCTAAACATGCGACAACGACCTCGCATTTTGCACACAAGTATCCATAGAAGAACTCCATGCCATATCTCATTCATGCCCATCCAGCTGCATGGAGGCCAGGCGTTTTCGAAGTAGTCCAAAGAATCAAATTAACAACAAAAACCGTATCGATGATTCAGATAGTCGAGAGGTCCACCAACACTCTATGATCCGATGATCAAGGAAATTTAAGAAGCAAAGCCGTTGCAATCGTAGGTTGTCTGGGCCTGTATCACCGACATTGAAACCATTGTTCCATAGCTATATCGCAACGGCCGGATATGTAATATGCCAGGGCATTGCCCCGGCCCGGCTCTTGAAGCGGTCAATCGCATCACGTAGGGAACCGATGTTCCAGGCTTGATTCCAGTCGTGGTTTCCCACAGAGCTCTCATAACAGAACTAATCAAAGACATTAGTGACCCTTCTAACCAAATAAGAGAGTATAAAATCAAAATACCTCTCCACAGCGCGTTACGCTGGTGACTTATTGGCCGCCAACCGGCCGAAAGTCGTCATTATTTTCCTGAGAGAGGTTAGCAACTTATAAAGAATAACAGTGGATGTTGTAGCTTACCACCGCACATAGCAGTGCCTGTTACCCGCAAACCGACCCCACAGTCTTGGGGTCAGTTGCGGGGCCATGTAATCATTTTAGAGGCCGAAGCCATTTCGGTTTCCTAGTTCCAGGGCGGAGAGGCGTTTGGAGTAGTGAGGGAGGAGTGAGTAGAAAAGTAAAAAGAGTTTAAGTCGGGCGGGAGCGGTATTTATGTGGGGGCTACGGCAATCGGAGAAACTGAACCCGGAAGCACTCAACAATTGTGTGGTAGTCAAGGTGACGGTGAGGTGATGAAAGCGCTTACAGCTTATAGGTTATGCAAATTTTTACTGCCATCTTCTCTGGTAAGCTCTCCCAATTTGGTCGTCGCCTCAAGGGAGGGAAACATGTATCGTGTCCGCCGTGTAGACTACAATTTGTCGCACAGGATGCAGCCCTGAAGACAATTTTCTTGTTTTTATTAGAGAAAAATGAAAGGTAGTATCAGGCTACACCGCGTCTATCACCAGAATGCCGCATCACATATCTAGAGTCACCAAACTCAGGAATGGGGGAAACTGGCTCGTGCAAGAAGCTATTGCATTACGATGCAATATATACAGCGTTAAAAGACGAATGCTTAACCGTACTACTGCCTGATCGCTTGTCACAACATAGTGATAGGGGACAGCAAGAACAAAAAATTCGATTCCATAGCTCCTGCACAACCCTGGAACTATGAAACCGAAATGAGGAAGGTCGAGAATCGAACTCGGGCCGTATCAGACAATCTGACAAGTGTTACCACTACACTACCTTCCCCGTATGTTTTTGTAATAGTGCTTCACGAAATTACTCAGTGTAAATGAAGGAAATCGAGGTCATCAGAGCTATGAGGCAGATCATTGTTCAGTAAGAATGTGGTACGCATCCAACTTTCATGCTTACTTACCTCTCACTACAAACACAATAGCCAAAAGTAACACAGTCTGAAGAATCACAACATTTTTCAGACAGATTAGTACCAAGACCAAGGTGTCTTAAATGCACTGAACAGGTTCTGAAGTTAATGTCATAGTCGACGCTGGATCCATTTACCCTCCCTTTGGCTCCTCCATTGCCTCTCGAAAAGACACATAACTACCTCCAAGCTACGTTGATCATCTCCTCTCAGCACCAATATACCTAGAGCCATCATGCACCCACATATCCTGATACTCCTTGACCAGCGCAGCATGTAGTTCTTCTAGATTCAGTTCAGCTACGGCACTTTGAAGCGCCACATTGTGTGCCCGTTGCTGGTCTTTGGGAACCTCGCGATCAGTACTCCCAGACCACTGGTCAAACTGGTCCCTACCGACGGCGAGCATTTCGTGGACACCCAATGCACGATCGCACCGGGCAAGCACCTGGTTGTATATCTGCCAATTTTCGTTGGTCATGGGGATAGAGACCTTGTATACAATACCAGGGACGATTGGATCGCGCTCAACAACGCTATGAAGTTCCTCGGCCATGTACATGTCGATGAACCTGAGTATGAAATCAAGGTTTGGCGATTTTATGCACTGGCGTCGTATTATACGAAGTGGGCCAAGAAGCACAAGCCGTGGTTTTGCCTAGATTTGTTGTTAGTGATCGGGGTCAGTGGAAGAAATACGGGAAGCTTGCGTTTTCGGTAGGCTGGATCACCTCTGCGTCAGTCTCCACCACAACTTGCTCCTTCTTTGGTTGTTCCTTGGTATCAACAGGCGGCATCTGACCAAATGAAATAGTCTTTGGGCGCTGTCCTACTGGATTGGCGCAAAGTCCAGCCAGGAAACCAGGCTGAGCATTTGATACGTACTTGTGGTCCTTGTTTCGACTGGGGATGTTGTAATCATATGGGTTCATGTACCACCCCTGCTCACCGACACATCTTGGACGGGTCTTCGACCCATTGTTCGCTTGAGGTGGCGGGGCTATATGGGCGAGGAGTGGCCCCTTCGCAATGTCCTGGTTACAAGGACTTGTTGAAGGCTCAAGTTGTGTTTCCTCAATGTGCCTCTCCATCATTGTGCGCAGGGGTGGTGGAGGTGGTGCATCAAATGGAGGAAGATTGCGTGCGTTGGCCAATTGATCACCAAAGCCAACTTCTGCTGAACGCGCAGATCTGTAGATCTCTGGGACTACAGTATCCGGAGATGACGCTGGAGAAGGTGTTTCTTGTTGCTCAAAATGCTCCTTCTTGGGATTGGGAATGGATGGCATACTGATATATAACGAAGAGATCACAAAATGAATCTCAGTTGGGTATTCTGGGTCGTAAACCTGGGTTGAGACTTTGAATTGAGGAAAAAATGAAAGTTGTAGTTAGTTTTTCTTGTATATTGGTAGAAATGGACAAGCACGCTGGATGTGCATGTGACTTTCACGTCACAACAACAAACGCTCGTGATTGACATCTTTGAATTGTGAAAACCTGGTTATAAAGAAAATGTGAGTGATTGAACGCATCCGTGCTCCAAAGTGGAAAGGCCTTGTGTATACCACCTACAGTTCCCTTAACCCTGATGATGCACCTTCACCATCACTTCGCGCCAGTTGCTCAAAGTGAAGCGACTTTTACCCTACTTGAGCCACAATATCAGTGGAAACACTCTCTTCCTTTTCCTTACAACTACACCAACACCAAAGTATAGCTCCGCCTGAATATCCCGTCAGATTTCTCCCCCACAATCTACGAAACCCAACATCCGATTATCCAAGCCACAATCTCCGGTAAGTCGTTTTCAATCTTCACCAGCTTTTATGCTGATTCTATAGCTAATCTTAATCTAGTCATGCATTGGCGCCACATCAAGCTGCGGAACCCGCTTCGCCCTCGAACGCTGACCTACCGGGAGGCACTCCTCGCAAAAGAGGCTGCAGACAAAAGGGCCGAAGAGGAGGAGAAGAAGGAGGTTGAAAAGCACCGAAGTGGGTCACTCGCCCGCTTGGAACGCAGAGAGCCTATTTGGCCCCAGCTCAAACGTTTATTCGGCAGTTTTGTGTACATGGGCTTCCGAAAGATGCCTCTCTTGGAGGAGGAGAGGTTATCAGAAGTTCGTGCGGCAGCGGCATACGTGTACGAGGACGAGTTGGGCTCGCAGTGGAATGAGCAGCAGGAACCTAAGGAGATTGAGGATGAAGAGAACTGGGAGACTGAGTGGGGGGCTGGCTGGGAGGGAAATTGGGAGGGCATTTTAGAGGAGGGCAACTGGGAGGATATATTACAGAAGGGCGAGATAGTTTCGGTCATGAACCGGGGCAGGGGCAGGACTTTGACTTTCTGATGCAATTTCGACGGACAAGAGATCTGCCCCATGCTTGATGTCCATAGTAAATCGTGTTTCTCTTGTCTTAGCCTGTCATGATGATATCTATGTTTGTGAAATACTGGGAAGATATTTGGACAGAGAAGCCCGATGAAGTATAATTCATGAATTAGTATGGCCAGGAAATTGCAGTTTACTTTGTCATCTTGAATATTCGAAAGAGCGTGAGTCTTATGAATGAAATCAAGTTTCGTCACGTATGAATGAAGATGTCAGATGGTGCAGGTTGACCATGAAGACGGTCTTGGTGGCGTTCCAGATCTCCTTTCCGAAAGCGATCATCCCGCAGAATGGCCCCGCACATCAGAACCCTTTCCAACCGTCTTTCCACCCACTTCACCATCAGAAACATCAAAATGTCAACATTTACGTTCTGGAAAGGCTTTGCCGACGCCGCCGTTGGTGTTATACTTCTCACAAAGCCTGAAATCATTTATCATAGCGCCGTTGCGAAGGCGCTGAACCGCCTCTCAGGGCTTCGGCTGCCCAATCCGCATCCAACAAGTCCCGGAGAAATAAGCTCACAGCATGCTGTTGCTATAATGGTACCTAGCATAATCCGATTCGTATTCCTGAAGATACAGAAGCTAACTCCACAGGTTATTGCGGTTGGTGTTGGCCACATGCGGGCGAGCAGAATCCGTTCCGCGATTCCTGCATTCGTCCTCATGAATGCACTATGGTCTGCTTTTGCTTTTGCGACCGTACTTTTCAAGCCTCATCGCGCAACAAGTGCGCTACTCATGACGGGTATCAATCATTTCGTGTTCTCAAGTATCATGGTGTGGCGCGCAAACATGGGTCTCGGAGAGATATTGGGACTGGAGCAAGAAAGGACCAAGAGCGCGTAAAACGGGAATTTCCTTTTACTGCTTGTTCTTTGGACAGAAATTCTTGATATGTTTGATCGTCATTCATAATGGCGAAATCTACAAATGAAGCTCTTCTCCAACGTCTGCGCCTTTCTATTACCAGAAAAGTCATATTTTAGTTATGTCTTCTGTTTCCATCACTTCCTCTCGAGGTTGATATTGGCGATGACGTTCATACTAATCGAAAATTGAGCTTGCGTGAATTGAATCGACGTCGGTTATGGGTATCTCTCGTAGGCGTCGGTTCCAGAGACCGCATCGTATTCGCGTTTGACGGCAATGTGAGAGTCATCATTAGCATGTCAACGGTTGGCATAACATGGTCTAGGTAAATCTTCATACCCTAAAGAGCCTTCTTCTCCTTATAGTTCTCTCTGTTCACACTTTGAGAATGGCACCAGCTGTCATCTCAGGCATACTCAATGTTTGAGCGCGGGGCTCAACCTTTTCTTCATGTGTCCCCCTGCCATGTCCATAGCGTGCTTTATAGCCATTGATTATACCCCATTGACCATTGACATCTTTTATGCCATTATTGAGACCGTATAGTGTCACTTTTTGCGTGCTTCATGCCCTTGCGACTCTATGTAGACCACACGCAGTCATTTTGCCGGTAGTATTTGTATCGCTATCCATCAAAGGCTGGAGGGCGGTATGTTCTTAGCAGGTTGCTATGTCTTCTGAATATCGCTTCCATTTGCATAGTTCTGAAGACCAGCGTCGAGAATCTCGCAGGAGAGTTAAATTAGAGACACGAGCCTCCTCGGTGAGGCATCTCGTGAGGCCCAGGGGAGAACGACGGCGTTTCTGTTCGACACTCCAGAGCCTTTGTGCGCTGTGCTAGGTGTGATGAGGAAAGCTTTTGGCTTGTTGTTGTGTCTCCGATGAATTGTTAACAAGTGAAGGCGGACGGCCTGGCGAAGGCAAAGGATGCCACGGTTGAGAACCCATAAGAAATGCAAAGCAGCACTAAAAAAAAACAGTCAGAAGCAAGCATAGGCGAAGAGGTCACGGAATCACATGAATTAGAGCTATATAATATGCATGTCCCCCAGGCAAGAAACGCTGAGCCGATGATATGCTGCAGCTTGCACGCCGAAAAGGGTTTTGATGTTCTAGGGGAGCACCCTGGACCGCCATCATGAAGGTAGATGCTATCCCAGACAAAGCGCAATGCTCCATCTGAGCCCGTACGGTCGCATGAAGAAAAGAAAAGAGATTTTAGAGAGGCGAGCGAGCATTTTATGTGTTTGCAGCACAGACCGCCGCGCTCAGATCAAAATGCACGTGATGGAGATTGTGATGCAAACGCGCGTCCGCCGCCAACTGAAGGTGAAGGTGTTGTTGGTTAAATGATATTTTCTAGTTATCAAAAAGCTTTAATTGTGTGCCGAGTCGTCGAGGGTGAAAGGCAACAGGACAATGTCAGGATGTGTCCCGCTCTCTCCTGTCGCCCATAGGAAACATTCCGGGCCATGACTTGGGGCCATTAACTTTGAACAAAGAATTTGAGTTCATTCCAGTATGAAGGCTCTGCGTGTGTGGCCAAAGCAGTAGATTTGGCCTTCATGTGTATTGTAGGTGGTGAGCTGTC